GGTAACACTTTATACAAATTAACCATCAACTAGTTGTTCATTAACATGCATATTAGCAGTATATTGGCTTTAGAATAAGGAACCTGTACAGGTCAATTAGAGTCAAACTAATAGCTTATTGGTTATGAGCAAGACTTCACTTNGGAGAGGACTCTTTAAAGTAGAGACACTACATACTGATATACACCTGAACATCAGCAGGAGAGGACTCTTTAAAGTAGAGACACTACATACTGATATACACCTGAACATCAGCAGGAGAGGACTCTTTAAAGAGGTCAGTAATATCCTCCCGAGCTGCCGTCTGTTTTTCTGCATACAGATATTTCCTGTTCTTTGAAAACTGGCCTCTTTAAAGTTGAACTTCAAACACAGAAGAACTTCCTGCTGGTTTTACACCTCAGTTTTTCTCCAACACAAAAAAAGTTTCCAGAAAAATAAAAACTACAACTCCAGCATCTGCATGAAGACTAAATGGGAAATATGCACGATATTGCGAGCATGAAATGTGTCTAACGTTAAAAAACATGTCATTTTTCTCTCAAATGTCCAGTTAAACTTTAGAGAAGATGACATGTTCTCTTTTGATCAAATAAATGTTGATTTGAATCCAATATTTGGACAAATTTCCACGTTTTTATTTTAAAATGTCAAATATTTTTGGTGGGTTTGGTAGAATTTTGGCTAAAAAAGGTAAAGAAAAGCAGAAAGTCCTCCTGTATTTAAACCTGGAAACGTCTAATATTTAAAAAATGTGTTCAGAAAGGAACATCTAGTTGGTTTTATTTCCATCTATTATTAAATAATCCACTTTTCATTTTAGATTTCTACATTTTAAAACACTTTAAAATTGTTCTTTGAGGAAAATAAGAGATAAATATAATCCCTAAAAGCCCAGAAACTGATAATTTGATCAATAACATTTCAGAAGATGTGGGTTTTTTAAACCAATAGTGACTTCTTGTTGAACCAGGTAACTCCTAACTTTGAACTAATTTAGATTTGTTTAATTATTATTATTTTAGAAAAACTTCTTGAATGTTTTGGTTTATTTTGTGAGAAAAACAGTAAAAACAATAAAAATCAGAAAACATTTTCTTTAAAATATTTTTAACCAATTTTCACTAAATTTAAATTAGAGTTTTTGAGTTAAATAAATTAGTTCTTGAATGTGAAAATTATTATATATTTAAAGATATTATTTTATGGACGGAATTTTTAAGTTTGGGCTTTTTTTGCAAGAAAGAAATGCTTAAAAATCGAGTTTATTCCTCAGGATTTTGCTTCTGAACAAGACATGTGTAAATAAAGGCACAGGAATACTGGAGATTCATCAGATTATCTGGAGGGTTAGAAACTCTTTAAAGGATGCATCGAGGATTTTAAATATATATATATGTTTAAAATAGGGAGGCGTGTGGTGCAGTGGGTTGTGCGTAGGTGTTGGGATCAGGGGGTCTCAGGTTCAAACCCCACTGCAGTCAGCATGTCGTTGTGTCCCTGAGACACTACACCCCAAAGTGCTCCTGAGGGGATTGTCCACAGTATTGAGTAAGTAAAGTCATGTAATGTTTAAAACTTACATTCTGCTGCTGACGGCATCGATGGGGCGGCCGGTGACCGGAGAGCAGAGCAAGAAGAGAGCGAAGATCCACTGCTGCAGGAAACTCATCCTACACACACACACACACACACACACACACACACACACACTTCATCAGAATCTGCAGGAGATCAAACACCTCATCACTTTCCCCTCGTTAAACCGATACAACATCTCGCAGACTTCACGTCTTTATTTCTGCAGTTTAACAACCTATTTTAATGCGATCAGTGTCATACGCAAGTTTTCACATCAAATTAGATACATATTTGCCTTTAGGGCAAAAACACAGGCTGAAAACATTGAAACGGATCAAATTTAGTGTAAAAAGTCAAGAAATTGTGAAAATGAGACAAGAATAAGTCAAAAAACGTTTGGGCTATGTGTTAAAAATGTCATTGTCTGTCAGTAAAATAAGAAATAAATACAGGTCATTGTAAATATCTGACTTCATAAGCTGTCAGAAAAAGCTCCAAAAAATAATTTCTACATCAAAACTTTGGAGTTTAAAACGACAGAAATATTGAAAAAAGTCAGTAAAATGTCAAATAAGATAAAATGCTGGAAAAGTATTATTTATTATATTAACGTGTTTAAAGTGACAGACATGTCAGTGAAAAACAGAAAATGTTCCCTTTATTATAGATATTGTATTTTGTCCTCAAAACTGACACCAAGTCTCTCAGCTGTCAAAATAAGCACCAAAAGTATTTTAAATTAATATTCTGTTGAACAAAATGTCTATCCAAGTTTCTATAAGTGACGTCGTGATTTTAAATATTTCATCTCAAAGTGATTAAGAGTCTGAGCAGAAACAGCAGACTCCTCATGAAGCAGCTCTGAAGTCCTCCAACATAAATAACGACATTTCAAGAAATAGAGACATACAAAAAATGCAATGAAGCTGCAGAAACAAGAGAAGAAGAAGAAAGAGAAGAAGTCCAACAGTGCAACATAAATACACTTAGACAATTAATGAAGAAAAAGACTTTAAAAAGTGACAGTAAGCTGCAGAAACAAGAGAAGAAGAAGCGGCTGCAGGAATAAGAGGAGTAGAAGAAGGGTTACTGGGACACTTACTTTCCCACAGCAGGGTTTTTTTATCCAAAAATAATTCACTTTGAGTCCTTTTTTTCTCCAACTTCCACAAATAAAGTCCAGGTGAGGAAAATTAAATGAAATGAAATCTCCACGAGTCGAAACACATCCAGGAGGTCAGAGTACGTCCTCGTTTAAAAACAGCAGGAGGAGGAGAAGAAGAGATAGAAGAAGGAGAAGAAGAAGAAAAAGAGTCCTCCAGGTGTGCCGCCTCAGGTCGGTGTGAGGAGAAACTGAAGCAGGAGGATAAAGGACGAGGAGCTGAAAGGGGGAGGGGCTACGAGGGGAGGGGCTACAAGGGGGGGGAGCTACAACAACTGAGGAAGAGGAGGAGCGGCAGGAAGGTGGCAGAGCAGCACCAGGAGAAGAGTTTCATCCGGAGTTTAAGATTTAACAAAAGACAACTAAAACTAAAGTGGTTGGAAAAAAGCTGCAAGTACGGAGGTCAATTAGTGCCAAAAACACGGCTCACGTAAGGAGATGCGTCTCGTGTTTAATACTGGTATGTCAGGAATAGTAATTCATCCCTTAAGATGAGAGGACAGCAAATACAAACTACACAATAAATAAAAAATGACAAAAGCATTTTGGTTAAAAAAATTGATTTACGGAGGTCAATTAGTGCCAAAGACAATGCACATAGTTACACAATAGTTTTTTTTAGACGAGAAACGTGATTAGGAACGAGACTCTCTTAATTAACGTAAGAAGTGACGCACAACCGGTAAATAATGAGCTTTTATGCTGCTCTTATCTTCCGTAAAAAGCTGGTCGTTTATTCTGAATTAATGACTGGACTAAATACGTCACTGTCTCCGTCGATGTTGTTTATTTGAGCGTCTGTAACGACTATAAATAAAGTTCCTCAGACAAAGCGTTCACGATGCAGATAAGCTGACCTCTCTGATTGTAATGAACTGATCTCGTTAACACGGCTCGTTAAAGCAGATCTGATGTGATCGTGTTAATTGGGACTTTAGGCTATGCTACATTAGCCTCGAGCTATAAAAAGCACCAAATGAACTGAAATATTCTTCTGGAAAAATACATGTAAGATTAATTAAATCTGTGAATTGGTCCTGAACAAAAAGCAGGTAATGACCCGACGATGACCCGGTCGTTACATGAAAACTGAAGTTTCCTGTGTTTCTCTTGTGTCTCGAACGCGTCTCCAAGCTGCGTTCAAAGCTCACAATAGTCTATTTTTCCGAGTTATTATTGAACGGTTTCCTTTATACTTGTATGAATATTTTACGGATTTACTACCAGCTAGCGTAGATGCATGCAAGATGACACCGTTTGCAAGAAAGCAGCATAACACAGCTCTTTGAAGGCCCATCTGTGAGGATTCTCAGGCATATTTTCATACGAAACCACAGCAAACCTATTAAGATCAGCTGACAGCAGCATAACACTCTGTCCTGTAGTTATCCTCTGCACATGCTGCACGCTAACACCAGGTTTCATGAACATTGGGCTTGTTTTACCACACTCAAATCAGGCGTAAAACATAAAGAAACACGGACATTAAATCCAAGTTTCCCGAGTTAACCTCCACGCGGGAACTCAAACACCGCAGCGCTGACGGACACGTGTTGAAAACCTGAAATATGTTCCAGCTGTCGCCTCACAATTAAAGCCAGACACACACACACACACACACACACACACACACACACACACACACACACACACACACACACACACACACACACACACACACACACACACACACACACACACACACACACACACACACACACACACACACACACACGTACACGACGACGACGACGAACCG